TTTTTTCTATCTCAGAGAAGGAAAATACATTTCAGTAGAAGAAATAAGGATTTGGAATACATAACAACTACTGTTTAATGAAATAATATCATTTCTGGAAAAATTAGGCTGAACAAGTTATCCTAGATATAGAGATTTTGTTTTGCCAAGAGCAGAAATAGGGCACAGATTTCTTACAGGAAACAAGAAGAAGATAAGGTCTTACAGCTTTTCTCTGGAGAACGCTCAGTTGACAGGTTTCCCCCACTCCCTCCCAGCTTTCATCTAATCTATCTTTGAATTTAGCTAAAGTAGACAAGGACATTGTGAAAACCTGCACTGTTTAGTTAATAACCAAGGCAGTGAATTCAAAGCTCTGCTCTTCCGTGGTTCCATCTGAAATGTAGCCTCAGAAATCAACTTACAAAGAGATGCTGTACTAGTTTCCCAGGGCTGCCGTAACAAATTACCACAAAGCGAGTGGTTTAAAACTATGGAAATCTATTCTTTCACAGTTCTGGAGACTAGAAGTCCAAAATCAAGGTGTCTACAGGATCATGCTCTTTCTGAAGGCTCTAGAGGAAGATCCAGAGCCTCAGGCATTCCTTGGTTTGTTGCAGCATAACTCAATTCTCTGACTCTGTCTTCACATGAACCTCTTTCCTGTGTCTGCCTCTTCTTTTTTGAAAAGGACACCAGTCATGTTGGATTAGGGCCCACCCTACTCCAGTATGGCCTCATGTTAACTAATTACATCTGAAAAGAGTCTATTTCCAAATAAGTCACATTCACAGGTACCAGGGTTAGGACTTCCACATACCTTTTTAGGGGAACACAACTCAACCCATAACAGAAGATTTGACTCCAAAGGGTTTGGGTGAGAGGAGGGAGTCGAATAAGTGGAAATTGATTCTCATCACCAGAGAAACAACTATCAGTCCATGTCTAGCCAAAGGTGGGTGGCAAACTCATCCTTCTATGTAAAGATTATTTCTATTGGGAAACTAGTCATTCTTGAGTTCCAGTTTTCTGGCATCTACCTTCAAGGTAGCCTTTAGTAAGGACAGTCCACCAGAACTTTAAAAATCTATATATACAGGCATACCTTGGAGATATTGCACGTTTGGTTCCAGACCACCAAAATAAAGCAAATATCACAATAAAGCATGTCACACAAATTTTTTTGTTTCCCAGTGCATATAAAAATTTGTTTACACTATACTGTAGTCTATTAAGTGTGCAATAATAGTATGTCTTAAAAAAAAGTACATACTTTAATTAAAAAATGCTCTATTGCTTAAAAAAAGGTAAACATCATCTAAGCCTTCAGCAACTCATAATCTTTTTGCGGTGGAGGGTCTTGCCTCGATGTTGATGGCTGCTGACTGATAAGGATGGTGGTTGCTAAAGCTTGAGGTGGCTTTGGAAGTTTGCCACATCAATTAACTCTGCCTTTCAGGAAAGATTTCTCTGTAGGATGCAATGCTATTTGATAACATTTTACCCACAGTAGACCTTCTTTCAAAATTGGAGTCAATCCTCTCAAACACTGTTTTATCAACTAAGTTTATGTAATATTCTAAATCCTTTGTTGTCATTTCAACAATATTCACAGCATCTTCACCAGGAGTAGTTTCCGTCTTAAGAAATCACTTTCTTTGCTCTTCCATAAGAAGTAACTCCTTATCCATTAGAGTTTATCATGAGATTGCAGCAGTTCAGTCGCACATCTTCAGGCTTCAATTCTAATTCTAGTTCTCTTGCCATTTCCACCACATCTTCAGTGACTTCCTCCACTGAAGTCTTGAACCCTTCGAAGTCATCCATGAGGGTTGGAATCAACTTCTTCCAAACTCTTGTTAATGTTGATATTTTGACCTCCTCCCATGAATCACGAATGTTCTTAATGGCATCTAGAATGGTGAATCCTTTCCAGAAGATTTTCAATTTACTTTGCCCAGATCCAACAGAGGAATCACTATTTATGGCAGCTATAGCCCTATGAAATGTATTTCTTAAATAATAAGACTTGAAAGTTGAAATTACTCCTTGATACATGGGCTGCAAAATCGATATTGTGTTAGCAGGCATGAAAACAACATTAATCTCCTTGTATATCTCCATCAGAGCTCTTGAGTGACCACATACATAGTCAATGAGCAGTAATATTTTGAAAGGAATCTTTTTTTCTGAGCAGTAGGTCTGAACAGTTAGCTTAAAATATTCAGCAAACCATGTTGTAAATGGATGTGCTGTCTTTCAGGCTTTGCTCTTCCTTTTGCAGAGCACAGGCAGAGGAGATCTAGCATAATTCTTAAGGACCCTAGGATTTTTGGAATAGTAAATGAGCATTGGCTTCAGCTTAAAGTCACCAGCTGCATTAACCCCTAACAAGAAAGTCAGCCTGTCCTTTGAAGCTTTGAAGCCAGGCATTGACTTCTCCCCTCTAGCTATGAAAGTCCTAGATATCATCTTCTTCCAGTATAAGGCTATTTCATCTACACTGAAAATCTGTTGCTTAATGTAGCCCCCTTCATCAATTATCTTAGCTAGATCTTCAGGATAACTTGCTGTAGCTTCTACATCAGCAGCACTTACTCTTTCACCTTGCACTTTTATATTATAGTGATGGCTTCTTTCTGTAAACCTTATGACCCAACCTCTGCTAACTTCAAACTTTTCTTTTGCAGCTTCTTCACCTCTTTCAACCTTCATAGAAGAGAGTTAGAGCCTTGCTCTGGGTTAAGCTTTGGCTTAAAGGAATGTTGTGGCTGGTTTGATCTTCTCTCCAGACCATTAAAACTTTCTCCATATCAGCAATAAGACTGTTTCACTTTCTTATCATTTGTGTGTTCACTGGAGTAGCACTTTTAATTTCCTGCAAGAACTTTTCCTTTGCATTCACAACTTGGCTAACTGGTGCAAGAGGCATAGCTTTCAGCTTATCTCATGCCTTTCTCACTAAGCTTAATCATTTCTAGCTTTTGCTTTAAAGTGAGAGATGTGTGCTTCTTCCTCTCTCTTGAACACTTAGAGGCCATAGTAGGGTTATTAACTGGCCTGATATCAAGACTGTTGTGTTTCAGGGGAGTAGGGAGGCCCGAGGAGAAGGAGAGGGTTGGGGGAACGGCCCATCAGTGGAGCAGTCAGAACACACACAACATTTGTCAATTAAGCTCACCATCTTATATGGGCACAGATCGTGGAGTACCAAAACAATTACAATACTACCATCAAAGATCACTGATCACAGATCATCATAGCAGATATAATAATAATAAAAAGTTTGAAATATTGCAGAATTACCAAAATGTGACACAGAGACACCAAATGAGTACATGCTGTTTGAAAAATGGCTCCGAGACACTTGCTCTATGCAGGGTTGCCACAAAACTCCAATTTTTAAAAAATGCAATAAAGCTAAGCACAATAAAACGAGGTATGCCTGTACAGTACCACAAAGAAGGAACCTGGGAAAGAAAATCCGTCAATGTTAGGTGATTGTACCAGTGTTGCTGTGACCTCATGAGTTCTGTGGTCATGGAGAGAAAACTCACCTGATTTTATGACAAATTTTTTTTTTTTCTTGTACTTCAGGTGAAAGTTTACAGAACAAATAGTTTCTCAGTAAATAATAGTACACATATTGTTTTATGACATTGGTTAACAACACCACGACATATCAACCCTCTCCCTTCTCGACATTTTTTTTTTTGATGAAAATATACATAGCCAAAGATACACCATTTCAAAAATTTCTCCATGAACAGTTCAGTGACATCGACTACGCTCTTCCAGTTGTGCTGCTACTCTCACTTTAGATGAAGGTTTACAGAACAAAATAGTTTCTCATTAAACAGTTAGTACATATGTTGCCCTATGACAATGGTTAACAAACCCACTACACGTCATCACTGTCCTTACTCAAACTTGGGTTCCCTATCACCAGCTTTCCTGTCCCCTTCTGCCTTCT